AGCTGTTGTAGGCTAAAACAGGATTTTGATTCTGAAGTCAAGTAGGAGCGATCGGTGGACGGATGTCTTCGTATTTAATTTTAGTTCACTCAGCAAGATAAATAATGGTAAGGCTGATTTCAAAGATGAGCTGACTAAGTAGTCATTAGGGGATGACAGCGTTATTCATCCTGCAAAAAGCTGTTTCCATCTCCAGCTTACTGTAACAGTGATGGTAAAGACCTGCAGAGAACCTTAGAAAAGGTGAGAAAGCAACATTGGATCTCATCACCGTCGCCTAAGTTAATACATACCTGCGAACTCATTCCTGCAGGCTCCAGCTGCAAGGAGAAGTGAAAGCAGCTTAAATGTAAACTGAATGCGAGTTTGGTTAGTGACCGTAAGCATTAGTGGGCAGCGAAGTCCGAAGAGGTAGAACGAGCAGTTGCAATTAGCAGTACAAGACGTATTTAGACCTTCCAAAGAAACTAAAGCAAAAAGGTTGATGTTTAATAAAACCTTGCCGGAAAGGAATAGATCTACCATTCACCCGTAGGTGTGTTAGCGCGTAAAGCAAAACGTTGATTGGTTTTTGCCGAACTAATCCACTCATGTGACTGTTTACTATCAGTCGTGGTTGGTGTACAGCAGTTCGCTGTTTTATTATGTAACAACAACAGACTTTTTCCTTCGGTTCACGAAAGAAGAGAAGGGATTAGCTGTAGGAGAACAACTAATTAAGGATGGCGTAGGAAGTGTCTTATTAGTTTTTAAGACGTCTAGAATAACAAGTTATTTAGTATTTACCACAAAATGGATAAATCTCCATAACTTACATCACTTTCAAGATCTTTTTTCAAATAATGCAATCATTAAGGTTTTGGTGCTGATATGGGCACCTTTAATTTCTCTGTGAAGAATATTTAGCTGTGAAACTAGCACCCAGCTTTATCGGAATAAGAATGCTGAACAGTGTCGTACTCAATGGCTACTACTTCTTTGGTACTGATCGGAATTAATCAAGACAACATCTGAGTGACTGTATAATCTGGCTATCTATGTTTGAAATTGGTTGAAGTCACTGACTGTTTAACTGTTGAAATCGTTTTAGAAACCAGCACTGATGATTTGACTACATTTACATGTGTCATTTAAGTGGTTTCGACACTCGTCATCGTCTGATAATCCTGAATTTGCGGTGATTGCTACATGAAGTAACTAGTAAAGAATAGCCGTTCAGCCTTAGCATGTGTTTGTGCATATGTTTGTTGGTGTCCTAGGAATAAAGGTCAGAATTGAGGCTATCAGTGATCCTGCTGTAATTTTCTTGCATCGCCTATTGTTGGATAGTCTCAATAAAAATCCAAGAAAACTTGTTGAATATACATCTTATTTGAACGCTTCATACTTTCTGGTCACGTTTTTATTCTTTGCTTTTCCTTACATACCCTCATAATATTGTAGTGATCCCAACTTTTTGATAAAATACAAGTACTTAGTAAATGCAGTGTCATTCCATGTGCTTAAAATCTTTTAGTCAGTTAGTAATAATAGTAGTAGTAGTAGTAAACTAATTCATACACAGTTCGCAGTTTGCACAAATTATTCTAATTTAACTTTCCACTGTATAGTTAAGATCGATATCTTCTGTTTGCTAATTCATGAAATTCTTAAATATTTGCTCATAGTTTCCAACTAAGAATTTTTGTCAGCATCATGATTATCATCTTACACATAGGTTTGTCTAATTCAAAACTGCTTACTTTTTCTTTCATTCATCTTAAAAGATGTGATTGTTTGTTGGGATTGAGAGAACAAGAAATTATTTTCTGCTGTAATTAGTGAAAATTATCGTACTGGTTAGAGCTTCCAAGTATCTTTTTTTTTCTTCTGTTGTACTTTCTTTTGTAAAATGGAGGTGACTAAGTTGTTTGTCTGTGATAAAATGACCCTATTATGTGTTATCTTAATTACTGACTTATTTACTATGCCTCTCTGTGGTCTAATTAGTTCTAATAATGTGTATGTTGATAAATACAATGATAAACTAAGACTTGTTACTTATTGATCTAGTAAATTTATCAGCAGTTATACTTGATGTAAGTGACTATATGACTACTGCGATGTGTGATCACGTAAAGGAAAGTGGGATTTGAGGAAGCTAATAATTAGTTAGTATTTTAAAGCCCATACCAATAACCCGCAGCTATGCATTACACTGGCCAGTTTTATGGCTTGTAAACTAGTGATTTAGGCAGTTACGTTTGAAAGGGTATATGGCTTCCTCCTAAACTGCAGATAGATGTCGAAAGAAAGTCTGAGTAGTCATAAAACTCATTTTTATAGTGACTACAACTATGCTGCTACATTCTTCAACCTGTCAATAGATTCCTGTGAAGTTTTGACAACTGAAGTTTGGGAATAACAACCACTGTGATTAGAAAGTTCATACATGAGCTCAAGTTTCAAGTGCTTCTGGATCCTTTCTATTTGAAATTTTAGTTGTGATAGATGCAAGAAACCAGACCAATAACTGCTACCTTAAGGTGGTGATTGGGTTTGCATATCGCAATGACCCAGCGGGCCATCCTAATGAAACAACTATTCCCTCTAGGCCCTACCATACCAAAAAGGTCTGTTAGACATTGGCGAAGCAAAAAGTAGCTACCCTTGTTGTATAACTTTCTATTCTGTTGTGGGGGTCCGAGTGCGAAGTCGTATTATAAGCTGGATGACCATGTGACAACAGTAACGTGTTTCCCACAGATGACCAGCAGTGCAACGCTGATACTGCTGCATTCCCTATGGGAAGGGGGATTCATTATCATCATCCACATAAACGTATAATGTCTCTTGGACTCTGGGGTCACACACTAACCCCTCTTTTTTCGGGGGCCTCAGGAAAAAGTAGCTTTTCATGGTGTAGGCAGCCGGGTCTCACAAGTCTATCAGCACTCAAGTTCCCTCAGATAACTGTCGACCTTCCACATCCCTAACTTCTTATCTTCCTTCACGTTTCTCGATCAGTATTCCTGCATAATTTTTAGCTTATTCCAACCCTGAGTTCATGCAAAGACCTTACTGGTCTGAAACCGCTTTCCGAACTACATATTCGGACTTTCAGTATCCGCTTCTTCTGTCAAATCGAAGAACTAGCCTCGCTAGCCAAAGCTCTTGCGTGCCGGACCGTGGATGTGTGCTGTGTTTGTGAAACATGCATACAGGACCCATGTGCAATTATTCACTTAAAGTCAACTGGTCACTGTGGTGAATCCTCAAAATTCACCCTTCGGATTTCTAGAGATTCGATGGCTAGTTCTTACACTCTTGTAGGAATAGACATAGCATTAAGTACTAGGGTAGAAATCGCACTGTTTAACTGAGTCCCAGTTGACAGTAGCCTATGCGCTGTTAGACTGAGGAGCACAGTGAAGACTAAAAGCAGGATTGAAACCCACCATTGTCCCTTTGTAATCTCTGCTTATTTACCCAGTGACTGTAGTTCGGAATAAGTGGATCGAGTAGTTTGTGACTTTCTCCAATTATTTTAAAAAAAATCTATATTATAAATAAAATCTCTTCTAAAAAAACTTAGTAGCTTCCAGTGCTTTTTATTTTGGTGTTATTTTAGAATCATATCGATGGTTTCGATAATCGATTTCTGTACTTAAAGTAGTGATAATCTCTTTACTTCATGTGGTGTTCTTACTGGTTGATTTTTTTCCGATTGGACTCTTGAATTATTCATCACTAATCATTGTGTTTTGCGAAACTTAAAGCAAACATATGTTTTTCAGAAGTGTCTCTTAAGTCTCTGAAAATAAGTTGTTCTACATCATTATCTCTGTTGTTTTACTGTTGTAGTATATGTTTGTGTGTATATGGGGCCTCTTACTCCTGTCCTTGCTGAATTTATGGATTAAGAAAAGTAACAATAGTTAAATACACTAACAATTAATTTGATCTTGTTCTCCTTTTCTCAGTTAATTTTGTTGATAGACAAATGTCTGTACCATATGTTCTTAGTTTTGAGGTCCCTGAGAGAATATGAATCAAAGGTTGAGGATTCTTGGCAACATGGCTAAAAATTGGTCACAATGGTGCTGTTGTATTCACCCCTTGACATCTTATAACCTTTATCTTCAAATTGTTTATTCTCTCCCACAACTTTGTCTACTTTGATACCACTTTCTGTCCACTTGTTCTTTGTACACTACTGTAAAATGTGGCAACTTGAACTAATGCACTTGTATGCAAGTTTCTACGTTGATTTTATCTGTCTGTCTGTGTGCTTAGTTTTATTGTGTATGTATTGACAAAACTCTATTGATTCAACACTCAATTGTTTGCCGTAATCAGGTAATTGAGAGATAATGAAAGAGTCTCTTTGGCAATATTTTACGGATCCTTTGCTGAATAACGTATATCTGAATCTGTAAGACATTCATCAATTCCTGAACGTTGCCACTACATCAGACTGATGATTGCCATCGTTTTCAAAATTTGGATTAGACTTGGAAAATCGAAATGCTTTCAGCAACCATATGCATGTTTGTACAGTAGGTAGTGAAACACAGTTACTATGTGAGCATCGCCCTCACCTCGGTAGGTGGAGCGGAGTTTAAACCCGTGTCGCATTGGTTGATAATTGAATGCTTAAGTCAATAAACCGCAGTCGTAAGGTTTTTTAACGTTTGTTTTTAGTCATTCACTATTCAGTTGACATGTTTTACAGTTGCTAACTTAGTTCCATTTCAGTAGATTGGTATATTTATAGTGCATCAACAAGGGAACTGGTCACTCCTATGCCATCTATGGGTAGTAATAAATAATTATTCAGTAATCATATGATTTTTGTATGTATTTAACGATGAGTTGCAGTCTCATTTGGACTTGGGATTATTTAGAGTAGAAACAGATAGTGTTAAGACTACCTACTTTCAGAACTCAGTTGCTCTGAACATAAATTTTCAGCGTAAATATTTCCTCTTTATATTTTAAAAAAAATATTTTTCACTTAGGATAAGAAGTTGGTCGACAATATTGTGAAACATGCTACCACGCATAACCGAGTAAGTTTTGTTTTTGTATATCCATGTTCACTTGTTACTCATTTATCTTCCGTAGTTTAGCGCTTTTCTACCTAAGTGGTTTGGTAACTTAATATTTCACTTTCGAACATGAGATCATCTTAATCATAAACTTCACTGGACAAGTGAAACTGAACCTCATTTTCTAACTACCTCGCAAGAGAAAGTGAATTCAATTTCGTTAGAAAATTAAGTCAGTTGACTTATGTGAAGTTTATCAGCCTTGTATTCGTGAAGTTTAGCGTGAAGTTGACCACAAGTTAACCACTAAGTACATCTTGTTCAGAGCACACTAAAATCATCATTCTGAACTCTAATTATTGAATATTAATTGAATCCACCCTTTTGGTTAAAAAGTTAGTGACAGATGTTGACTCTCTCTGTCCACACGTTCATTATCACGCAATGCACAACATTATAATGAGTAACTTGCCTTAGGGATTATTATTATTATCATTATTATTTGTCCCTTGGGCTCCTAATGGAACATACGGCTTCAGTAGCACGTCTCCAGTGCACTCTGTTCTCTGAAAACTTTTGAACCTGGCTCCATGACAGCCCAGAAGCTTTCATTCCTTCCTCGCACGATCTCCTCCATGTCACCCTCACCTCGGACGACCAACTCATCGCTTCCCATCTGGTTTCCACTCGAGTGACTGGCCTGACACGTGATGTCCACAGTCGGCCTTCTCAGTGTATGCCCAATCCATCTCCACTTCCATCTGCATATTTGTTGAGTGATGGGTTCTTGGTTGGTTCGTTGCCAGCCAGCCAGCCAGCCAGAATTCCTTGTTGCTCATTCTAACTATTCTGGTAATCCATCTGAGCTTCAGTAACGAGCCAGAGTAGGCAGTTGTTGATGAATGTGTGTAGTTTGTTGGAAATCGCTTTCGTAACGGGCCAAGTCTCTCAACCATACAGGAGCACTGATTTGACGTTGGTGTTGAAAACCCGGATCTTGTTCCACATGCTGAGTGCAAACGATCTCCACACTGGTTTCAGGCTAAAGAACGCCTGTCTTGTTTTCCCGATCCTGGTTTTGACATCCTCGTCTGTGCCTGTGGCGCCTGTAGTTGAAACAGTGCTTCCTAGATAGGTGAAGGAGGTTATTTCCTTTAAGTTTCTCCCATTGATGGTGATTGGAGTTTGTTGTTGCTGTTGTTGTTAGTTGGGTATCTTCACCACCTCTGTCTTCTCTATATTCACTTGAAGTCCCATCTTCCTTCGCTGCCTCTTCTGACAACTTGTTAGTTTTCGCCTGTAGATCTTCAAGTTTGTGGGACATCAGACACAAGTCGTGCTTGGCGAAATCCAGATGTTCTAGGTTGTTTTCCGCAGTCCAGCCAGCGTATCCCCCTCTTCTCACTCCTCACTGTTTGTTGCATGATCCAGCCGACTACAATCAGGAATATCATGGGGAATAGTAGGCAACCTTGTTTCACTCCTGTCTTCACTTGAAAAGCATCACTGAGGTTTCCATTGTGAATTACTTGGCATGTAGCATCTTCATATAGTTGTTGAATGAAATTGATAAAGGTTTGTGGCATTGAAACCGTAGTGTTGAATCAACCGCCAAATTACTTGTCGGTCGACGCTGTCAAAGGCCTTTTCAAATCGATGAAGTTGAGGTAGATGGTTGACTGTCATTCTATACTTTGTTCTATAATGATGCGAAGCGTTGCGATTTGGTCCGCACATGATTTGTTATACATGACATTATTGAATGATGCCACTTAGTTTTAGCACTGTAGCTTAAGACTAGCTGTTACACAGTGACTAATATTATACACATGTGTTCCTTACTACTTTTATAAATTTAAGCGTTTTTGCTGCATAGTTTGTATATTTTGTAGCGTTCAGTACTAGGTTACTGGTTTTTAAGTTATTGCTTCAGAATATTGGTTTTGTGTACTGTTTTGTAAACGTAAATAAGCAGTTAACATTCAATTAAATAAATTCTGTATGAAGTGAAGGAAATAATTCAATACTTTTGGTGAGATTTTGTGTAATAATCGCGTTTCGGCAGGTTGGGTATTATTGATGGAGCATGGTCTACTGATGGTGAGGGGGGAAAATCTTGGATTAAGGCAGGATTTGTACCATTAGTTTGTGGATTAATAGATAGGCTCTCTACGAAACGTGTTGCTAAACCTGGCTGCTGACCATGTCTTTTCTTCACCTAACTTAGTCGCTACTGTAGTGGCAATAAATGAACAATTACGTGTTCCACATTCACAGAGATTAAAGTGAAGATGTAGTCAGAAGCTGGATCTCATAGTAGACCACTTGATCGGTAATTTGGAAGTCTGTAGTTCGAATTCTTTCGGTAACCAAATTTCCATTGCATGTTCAATCATCTTTATGTATCGAAACTAGATACCTGCTCATGACTTGAAACGTACTGACTTATAATTCATAGTTGGACCACTCCCTGCCTTAAGACTTAGCCGAATGAACATCAGAAGGTTGGAGTTCTAGCGTAATGACTCAGTTTTATGTGTGTATAAAGAAATAGACTGTACATTGTACACAGAATGTGATTGAGATAATACAGCTGTAAGATAACAGATTATCAGTCAATGATCAGACAAAAATCATGAGCTAATCGATGTATTCTCATTATTGAATATGAAACCTTACTTCTATTCTCTATAACAATCGAATGGAAATGTACTCAGCAATCTTGCTGTCCAAGCTGACACTGACTGGCTGACAGAATTAACGAAGAACCTCGCATCGGCTCAATTTGCCACATTTCACAGTAGTACGCAAACAATAAGTGGGTATAAAAAGAGTGAGAGCAAAGTAGACAAAGTTGTGTGAGGGAATGAGCAATCTGAAGATAATAGTTATTGCGAATATTCAAGCTTTAAAAGATATCAAGGAGTGAATACAACTGCGCCATTGTGACCGATTTTCAGCCATGTCATCAAGAGTCCTCAACTACTGATTCTTATCTTCTTAGCGACCTCAGGTAGGCAGTCCACACCTCACACGACTCAGAACGACAGTAACAGACCTCATCGGTTAGTCTCAGGTCTTGGCCTGGCCAATCTGAACTTTCTTCCAACCTAATCCAGCTTCCAGTAGCATGGCACATTGCGGTAGGTAGTGACTTGGCATACGCAGTACGTGTCCAAGCCACTGTAATCGACTGACGTTTGTGGTTTCGAACCCGCGACTCAATGATTGTAACTCATCTCTCTAAACCAATGGGCCACAGTTCTATAACAGCTGGGCACACTGCTAGGCTGGGTCTAATCGATTATTGTAATCGTGTTGTGGCAACTTAATCAAACCTTTTTATAAATTATTTTTTATGGTTTAATCTTTACATAAAATACAAACTAGATTATCTGCTTCCTCCATTGTAACTCATCGAAAAACAGCACTACGAATTCTGTAGACGAATATGTACTTTTCACCTTAACAACCAATGTTTGTCTTACTTTTCCTTCGTAGAATGCAAAGGTAATATTAGTAAAATGATCGCCTGGTGCAGTGTGTAGACGATGGACATCTAATCATTGGCACACAAGACGTTTAGTCGCTAATAGGGAAATGTTTGGCAAATTTTCATCACACCGCTTTAATTGGTTGTGAGGAACATCACAATGTTCAATCAGTACATGAAACGGTTGCAGGGTTTCGATCATAGGTATCTTCGTAGTGCTGCTCCCGTGTGATGAAATTATCGTGTGAGCAATGGTGAGGTCAAACAAAGGTTACTAAACAGGCGGCAAGTTGATTGATGAGGTTGTGGACCTTTATCGGCTGATATAGCTTCGACATGTACAGTGCATACCGAGCCACTGCCTTACTCGACTTACTATTCTGAGGAAGTTGGATTAGTTTGTAAGAGGATTCTATGTGTCTAAACCAAGACGTAGCACCACCAGTCGAAACCCCTTACTGCTGATCTGAATCGTGTGAGATGCAAACTGCCTGTTTGGGGTCGTGTAGAAGACAGGAATCAGTGGTTGAGAACTCTTGATGACATGGGTGATAGTCGATCACAATGATGCAGTTGTATTCAATCCTTGACATCTTCTGAAGCTTGAATATTCGCAGTAAGAGTTATCTTCAACTTTGTCTACTTTGCTATCACTCTTTTTCTATTCACTTGTCCTTTGTATACTACTGTGAAGTGTGGCAACTTGAGTCGGTGCACTTATGTGCGAGGTTTTACGTTGATTTTGTTAGTCAGTCAGTACAAACTGTTACCATAGATTTGTGGCTACGTAATTCTATAACGAGTACAATCAAACTTCACCCATTACACTGCATTCTTATAGGCGGGACTGTCAACTGGAAAATGTTGTTGGTAGATCTGTAGGGTACTGACTTGATCTAGCTGTGAAATTCAAAGTTTTTTTTTATGGAAATCTTTGATTTATTCATTGCTTTATATTAATTTGGAGCTATAGCTCAGAGGTTCAAGGAGATGATTGTAAACCATTGGGTCACAGGTTCGAGTCCCGCCGCACTTACCGAGGTTTGGGCGGTCAGATGGTATCATTAGCCCTCACACAATAGGTGTGGCTCGTTACCTACTGCGGGGATATACACAACGTAGCTGAATGCATCTCTCTCTTTTTCGTATACTGAGTTGCTAAAAGTGGCAGATCACCTTGGAAATGTTGATTGTTACAATTGAGTAAAGTAATTTAAAGGCCTGGTGTAGCAGATTCAACCCTAATGTCAGTCACCAGTGTTTACTGTTGATAATTTAGAAAAGAGTGTAGAAGCTTATAATTACCTTTTAGAGCATTTAAGTGTGATCTATTGAACAAGACACTTACCTGCCACCTGTTTGGATATCTTCATTGTGTGTGATCTAGATGATCATATAGAATCACCGGCATTCATACAGGAGGTTTGTCTATGCCTAGTATATAACCGTATAATTAGATGCCAAGTTATTTATTTGCTGCTTTCTCAGCATATCATTAGTTCTAAGCATTCTTGTAGTTTACGAGAGATGTGGTGTATAAGTGTTGTTTGATTTCAGATAGAATTTTTCACTGCTCATAATCATATCACCTTGAAATGATTGTGAGCAATGAGTTTTACTCGGAACGCCATTTAGTAAATTATACTTTATTACTATTTACTATATCAAATCAACTATCTGATATGGAATTATGTTCAACCATAGTGCCCAAGTTTTACTCTTACACTTTTGCTTATTACTTTTTAAGGTTTTAGAAGAAGAATACTGTTGGCGGGAAATAAAGCGTCGTTATAAAAAGTCTGAGGATTCTAGAGATCGATCACCTGGATCGTCTTGTGCACAATCTGAACAGGCGTTGGATGCCTATGAACGAACACTTCGTACAGAAGCGAAACGAAATCTAGAACTATTAGCTGCTCGTTCATTGCCGAGTGCTGCAGGTGGACAGAATGCTAAAGAATTCTGGCGAACACTTGCTCGTCGGCATTGTGAAACTGGTCGTTGGGGTCATGATGGTTGGGATGAATTACAGAATGAAGGTCCAATACCTTTTAGACGATCAGAGAATATTGATGATGTGAAACCGAGGTCAACAACTCCAGTTGGATTACCTAAATTGCCTTATCAGTATACAGTAGAAAAAGACAAACAAGAGAAAGAAGATAAGAAGTCAAAGAAGAAGAAAGCCAAACACAAGTCGTCTGAGTCTAAATCTAAACGGAAACATGCTAAGAAACGTAAAGCAGCTAAGTTGAAAAAATCTAAAAAGTCAAGAAAAAAAAAGGCTAAGGCACGTTCACCTTCTCCGTCGTCGTCGTCATCATCTTCTTCTTCTTCCTCATCATCCTCGTCTTCATCGTCTTCTTCTGCCGCTTCATCATCTTCATCGTCTTCTGCATCAACATCGAATTCTATTGGAACAGATGATGAAATTGAATGGCAAGAATTAAAAGTGCAGCAATCATGTTCACAATGAGCAAATTTGATCAAATTGCGGTGCATTTTGTAATTAATTAGTGTTGCCAACTTTTCATTCTCTATGGGATTTCTAATCTCCAGTTGTATTTTTTTTCGTTCCGCTCTCTCTTTATCTCATGTGTTTACTTATCGTATTTATTTTTTTTGGTGAGAATAAGCGGATGTTTTTGTGTTGACAAAAGAAAGTCTTTCTTTTTATGGTATCACATTACAATGACTTTTTTCCTTTTAAAGTTCACCTTTTTTGTAAGAGACAGTTTCGTTGATAATTTTATGTGTATACCTTTTTCTGTTCTTACCTATTTTGGTCATATACTTCACAGTATCGTGTTACATAGGGGATTTAAAAAAGTAATACTTCCTTTTTTATTAATTATATGGTAATAAGGGTGTGTGTGTATATATAATAATAATGGCAATAATTGTAACAATGGTGGATGACCTATCAGTGATTCCCGTGGAATATTGAATGGTGCTTTGAGAGGGGGGGGGAGCTTGATAGTATTGTGTAGTGAATGACAGTGATGCTGTCAAAATCCAGGACATAATGTTTTTTTTGAAGCGTAATTAGGTTAAGAGAAGTCTAAATGTGGCCAAAACGTGATATGACATTAACTATTAGATTTGCTGACTATTTGCTGGGAACTATGTAAGGAAGTGTGGACTCTCCATATTGTCAACTGGGGAGTCAATAACCTGCTCCGGTCACCCAGACAACAACCACCAGCACACTGAGGGAGTAGCTATCATGATGTCCCCAAGAGCATCGAAGGCTCTCATACAGTGGGAACCAATCTCCTCTAGGATCATGACAGGTAGATTCAAACCAAAAGGAAGGAAGGTCACAATCATACAATGCTACGCTATTCTATGCACCTACAAATAATGCAGATGAAGAGAAGAAGGAGGAATTCTACAGACAACTGCAATCAACACTGGACAAGACCTCACCATAGTTGGCGATATCAAAATTCTAATGGGTGGGGTGGCATGAATGCCAAACTGGGAGGGGACAACACAGGAAGAGAACTCATCATGGTTCGAGAAGCACTCGGTAAAATGATGGGTGAGAATGTAGAACTGTTTGTAGATTTCTGCGCATTCAACGATTTGGTGATTGGAGGCAGTGTGTACAAACAAGGATATTCACAAACCGACATGGATTTCACCAGGACACTAAAATCAGATCAACTTCATTTCAATCTCATTAGAGTGGAGACGCAGCCTACTAGACACAAGATGAAGAAGGGGAGCAGATGTAGGTTCACACCACTCACTATCTAGTACCCATCGCTTCAATTGCCAAAGAATTTCCACTAGGCCCCTAAAAGAACAACATTCACTGGGATACAGCTACATCCGGCTGACGACTCCCAAATAGAACGAAATGTGCATCTTGGATTCCTCTACTAGCCACAACCATCCATTTTTGTGTTGAGTTGAACTGTGATAGCTTGAAATGTTGGACTTCTCTACCAGTTTTCGCTAAATTCTGTTTGCCTATCATTGAAATTTTCAGGAAGGGCTATAGGATATAGCGACTGAATGATAGATAGAAAATGGAATGCATGAGAGAAATCGCTTCCTAATGAGATTGTAAGCGGTGATGAAACCTGAGGTTCTGAAGGATTTCGATCTGCCATGTCACTGTTCAGGTGCTCTACTAACCATGTCACAAGACTTGTCTGTTTACCAATTCTGAATGCTCTATGGAAATCTGACTTTCGTATGCATTTATTACCAATCAGTAACGCTAGCTTCACAAGTTTGGTTCTCAAATCCTAATGGATATAAATAAGGTAGGAGATTGAATGATCTTTTAGCTCACTGAGGTAACTTTTTGCGGTATACCAATTCTGGTCTAACAGGAGCGCTGAGTCAACCGGACATCTGGTCACTAATCTCAGATTTTATTTTAACTTCAGACATTCTCAACTCTAAATGTCCGCCAAAAGAGACGTATATCTGCACAAGTACTGCAATCTTTAGATATAGAGCGTTGAATGAAGTTAGCTATTTAATCTGAAGTTTGTTTGGGGTTTAGGAAACTCTTGTAAACGTATTTTCCATTAGTTTAATCTTAAGATTGACACGTATTTCATTTCAAGAAATTTTCTTATGAGTAATCTTGCCGTTTGCATTATTAATGCGTGTTAGTTAGTTATTCATATGTTGAAAGAGAATAAACTTTTGTCGTACACTAATCTGGCAGCTGTTCTGTGATATCGTGATTGGAAAGAACTGTAGTTACATTTCATTGTTTGAAAGATTGGTAATCTGGTAAAACAATGACAGTTATATGGCGACACAACAGTGGTTTCATTTGGTCATTGATTGTAATCAATACTGCTTAATAGACTTATCTATTCTGATCAACCTTTCAGAGATGGATACGTTAAATGCATAACCAGATTATTATAATACTTTACGGATGAGTATTTTCTCTTATTCCTCACTAGACTGATTTCAAAAATCACAGTTTTCATTCATAGCTGACAAGATTGGCCTTCAATTTGAAGATTTTAAAAACGACTACCTTTGTGGAGCATTTTATGTTGGTATGAAATAGTAGAAGTTGGAAGGTACTGAACTGAGAGAATGTTCTTTCCGACCACTTGACTCGACGGTGACCGAATGCTTAGAGTGATATGACTTCGGTCATTGGATTAATGAACGGCACTACTGCGTCTTTCTGACTCCCGTCCATATACTGAGTTCCCTAAGTACTGTCGCCCTCCATAGCCTAAACACTGCTGGTCTACCTGTACTAGAAGGTGTCAATATATAGTGAAGGTGATCGGTTTTACTGACCGGAATTCCAAGTTCAAAGCAAGAAGGCGATTGGTTGGCCAGTGTCAAGGCAATTAAATTACAAAGCCTTGAAAATATTGACGTGTACAAAGGGGAATGTTTGTAACATGTTTTGGTAAGATGACTTGTATGGAATCACAGCAACTATTCATTCCCCTTCTTAACGCCTAAGGAACTCAGGGATGTTAAAGGAGTTGGATGAATTCCTGGTATTCCATCAAACTTGCTATAACAGAAGCGGGAATTCAGGTTATGAGAGACTTAAGTGTCTAAAGCTGTATTGGAAGACAATTCGACTCGATCATATTCAACCTATTTCTAGAACACTCAAATGTTATACAATTAATCAGCAACTCTTGCCTACGAGAGGTGGTTACGGAGTAACCCTGAGGAGTATATATTTAATTTATTCAACATGAAACTGTCGACATAAATTACAGGCATGTCTGGGTCCAAGGTTTTACATTAAGTCCTCAAACATCAGGAAACTTTACCCTCCAATGAAGTTGGAAAATATCAATCAAACCTTCGGTTTAGTGCCAGGATCGGAAGAGCACACACTCGACAGTTGTCACACGTTTCTGAACACAACCAGAAAGCGACCTACAATATCTCCCTGGTTAAAATGGTAGAATAATTTATCTCATATTGTAAATTAGCAAAACCGAAGACCCAACAATACTGCAAGTCGAAGCAACATTGATTATTCACTAGTCCTATGTGCTGATTGAATTCTATCTATCATTTTGCAAGGCAGCCATCAGGTTAGTAGACTCAACATAGTGATGTACTTTGATGAATGTTAGTTACATGGAGGTAATTGCAGGAAGCCCTGCCTAACCTGGGCTTCGTGGTTTTCAAAACTCCTCAGCAAGGCCTATCTGCAACCCCCATGGAACCGATATCTCACCCGAGATTCAAACCCGCGTTATCCACTTCTCTAGTGAGAGATGTTACCACGGAGTTATTCGCGCTAGGACTGACTTCCTGTAGGACTGGATTAGGTACACTTGAGGGTAACCAACTTCATGTTATCTAGTCGTAAGTGCTGAAATTGCTCACCATTGACGTGATAGTGTAGGAGTACTTAAATGTATTCACTATGACTTCAGTAAATCAAACTTTCTAAAGTCAAGCTACGAAATGGGTGCTTTTGTTCCTTGTGAAACCAGGTTGGTGTCCGACTGAGGACTTGTTCATAGAGTAATCGCTTAATGCGGCCAACATACCTTACACACAGGTGAATTGGTTGTCTTGAGGTGTTTGATCAATTTATATGCGCTTTTGAAGCAAGCTCTATTAGTCAAAATTAGCATTTACCTTCTCAGCATGTCTTCGGACACAACAATCCAGTTTTACATGGACGAAAATAGGCCATTCCACAGCTCGCTTTTAAAACATTTAATAGCTTCTCGACACCTGGTGAAGCCAATAAATCAACAATGGGGCTTTTTCTAGAGTTTGTGCAACCTTATGAAAGAAGAGTATATGTAAACCTTCTTCAAACTATGAAAACCACAGCAGTTCATATTCTTCAGCGTGAACTTTACCCCTATAAGAAATTTGTCTCTCCATCAGGTTTGTAATGAATCTGGCTTATAAGGACAATTAACCCTCAGAATTCTTCCCATTATCTTCGACCAATCTCTGAGAGGTAGCCATATCCAGCGGGCGAGTCCCAAATAGGATGAAACATGTCGTGGATTCCACTATTAGCTACCAATGAGCAAATACCACCAACATTTAATTCTTCCTTTGACACTTTATTAGCTATTCCCTTTTGTTATTCTATTCCATTGTGCATCTAGAGAACGATATAGGTGAAAAGAGAAATTATGTGTTAGCAGTTACCATTCATAAGGGGCGGATGGAATATAAAACACTGTCTTAAAATGACTGTTAATCTATTTAACGATCAGAGAAGGTAAATATTGAAGTTAGTATTGTAGGTGAGTCAATTATCGACTTATACATACTGATTAGAGTTAGACTAAGCAAATGAAGTTTATTTGCTAATCTCCGGAATGAGAAATTAGCACCGGTAATTCAAAGCACTAACAAGATTAAAAAACGTACTAGATTTTGAAATGGAACGATTTATTGGATTCAAATAAAACACTCGATGAATTGCTTAATGAGCGATTACGCAGTTAATTGCTTATTGATTCTCCATGGTACTAATTTACAGATACACATTGAAGTTGGAAGTATATGCATATTTGAACTATGGCTCAACACAGTAAGTGCCCTGATTCCAGCAAGTATTTAACTTGCCAAAACGTCATTTTATCGTTCAGTGTACGAGGAGGATATCTTTTCTCTTGAAATGTGGTGCACAGCCTAATAAATGAATTTCTAGATCCTTAGGAAGTTGGTAATTTTCGTTACAAAACACTGACTCCTAACTTTACAGTAACAGCAAATATGAAACACATTTAATTGGATATTGATCAAGGTAAAATTCAAAGGTATTCTAGTATATATATATATATATATATATATATATTAAAGAAATCTCTATCAAAACATTCAGTTAGTTCCTTTTCAAAGTTTCTGAAAAAAAGTTCAAGTTTCAACATGTTTGTTGATGAACTTGCCTACAAGGTGTGACTCAGTTTATGCACATTTCTAGCTGGT